CGTTTATCACTTTTAAATTGGATAACCTGTTTATTAATAACACAGAGGTTAAACTTGAAAGAAAAATTAAATATCACGCTTTCCTGAATGGCAACATACTGGCACAGACAAAAATGTTTTAGTCAATTTATTATAAAACATTGTATTTATTATTATGCATTTCCTTTTTAATCAGCGAGTTCGTCGATTAAACTTGAAAAAAAAATTTATACTTCTAAATTTCTGAGTTTAATTGCTTTTAAATACAAGTTTCTTTTATATCGCAGTGATTTACGATTAAATTTGAAATTTATTTAAATTTGAATATTTACGATTAAATTTTATTATGGTATTCCAAACGTTAGTGATGAGTCTCGATTAGTGATATGAATGATAAGTCTCGATTATTGATCAGTCGTAATTTCTGCATCTAAAAATTCGAACCAGTTTTTAGATATGGAAAAAGACTTTTTGAATTAATTTAATTTGAAAACGGAACACAAACTCAGGCGTGAAATGAAGTTAAAAGGTTAAAGTTAATTCAACGTACATTGATAAGCACTAAAAATGTTTACTGTTTTTGCTAATACCTTGAATCAGGGAATGAAAAGCTCACATGTATAAGAAATTTACCGAACAGTTTCCAGAAGGTTTTGGATTGGTTCATATGATTACGGCAAAGCTTCGAGTGCTATCTGCCTAAGGGAATAGATGCCTTCCTGGAGGGCTTTCTAAGAAAAACTGGCTCGTATACATGTTACACATTGGAAAAATCACGAAAACGCCCATTGAACCAGCCGGGGTTGCGGGATTCGAACCTCGGACTAAACTACTAGCGTTTAGCGACTTTGCAGCTCGGCCGCTGGTGGGGCAGTTTCAAAGAGGAGACGTGAAATAAAGAATATTTGAGGCCTTTACCTCTGTGAAGAAAAAGAATGATAAATTTGCAAGGTGAAATACGATACAAATAAACAATAAGAATGGAATGAAAACAGAAATGAGCAAAAATACACTAAATTGAAATTAAAATGCAAAAACACACACATAAAAAATGCATGTAATTTATTCATTATTTTAAGTAATCCATATTTCATAAAGTATACGCTCTAAGCAATTAATCTGAATCCTCTGAAAAATGTACAGTATTCATGCATTAATCACTATGGCCATTTTTGGTACTTCCATGTTTTTCCGGCCCTCGTTTTTCAACTTCGCCAAAAATTGTAACTAATCGCCAACAGCAGCCCTAACGACGATCCCTCGACTAATTTATTCGTCATGAGAAGCGTTGTAAAAACGCCAAATGTTGCAAGACTGTAACCCCGCGAATCGGAAAGGTTTCAGATTTTAAATTACGTCCAAAGGTGCGTTTTTTAACGTTTTGTGTGTTACCTTTATTTATTAAATATCATGTTCTACGTACTCAAATAATAAACAGCAATATCGCAAATTAATTTTAAAATGAGCATATCTTTCGAATTTCCGATACAGAGTCTTGCGCGGTGGAGATAAAAAAATGGTTTTTTCCTGCAGTGTTGCCATTGCTCTCTTTGAAATCATTTAGTGGTTTAATCTTTGGATTATGGTAACTTGGCGATTTTTTGGCTAAAATTTGGCGACCAACCCTGCTACAGCAACCTGCTAGTTTTGTTTTGGACGCCATTTTGTTTTCACGAAGTAAAGGCTTTTTTTTTTTTAACTCAACATTTTTTTCCAACAATCTGCTAGCCGAATTACGCTTATGCTAGAACTTTCATGGAACAAAAGTGCTTAATCATGACGAAGATTAGATGCGAAATTGGTAGAAAGTGCAGAATCGCCCACTACTTGCCGCGTTTTTAAGATTTGCACATACACGGTATCCATGTACATGTCGACCTATTTTCACTTAAAAAAAATCCCAGAATTGCACAAAAATGGCATTGCGCACACTCTTGACTTTATCCATGTACACTGCTAAAGTCCTAGCTAGTAACCTTTATCGCCTTACCAAAATGTCGCCAAACTACCTGTTACCATATTCCAGAGATTAGCCATTTAGTGTTTTAATCAAAAACTTGTTAAAGTTTTACAAAATATGAAATAGATAATAAAACAAATTCCAAATTCGGGCTTCCAGATCTCCAAATTCTAGGAGACGACAACTTTTGAAAATTTGATGTCTCTAGGTATCGTTGTTTTTTCGCAACATTTGAAACATATATACATCATTATTTAATTTCTTTCCATATAATGCAGGGCTCTAGTATTTGGTGGCAACAATTTGAAAAAGTTAACTAACATTTATAGTAAATAACATTTAAGCGAAATGCCAAAACGAAATTAATAGCTCTTTCGGTTAATAAATTAAAAATAATAAATAAATAAAAATTAAGAAAAAGAAATAAAAAATAAAATAAAAAAGTAATAAAATAAAGCGAACTCAATCTAAATTGAGAATGAAATGTCGAAAAGCTGTCGTAGATAAATACTTCCAATTACAAAAATGTTTCAAATGAGGCAAGTATTTACATTTGACGTTAAGTTAAAAAGATTAATTTTGCAGTAATTACGAAACCTAATTCTTTATATATTGCCCCCCGGTCTTTATACGTATATTTAGGAGAGTTGTATATACTCAGCATATTAAAAAACGTACAAAAGGTTTGTCTGTCGTACGACTAAAACTGACCGAAATTTTAAAACTGGAGTTCAAATTCAGATCATGTACTGAACATGCAAATGTTTCCAAAATGTAAAATATCAATTTAGAAAAAGTTACAGATCCAGTGAATGGCATTTACATGCAGATTATGTCGAAAAGTGTTAATCAGCATAATTTTTTCTCCCAAAAAACTAGATCTCATTCACTGAATCTTAAGAATTCTTGTTCTAGAAAACACAAATAAGCTTCAATATTGCCACATAACCTTTATTTATTTTTATTTTACAAATACTGCTACGACTCGTAGCAGTATTTGTAAAATAAAATTTTTTTTATAGTTTAATGAACTGTTTTTGTAGGAGAATACTAATAATGCATTTATATATAGCGTTTCTAAACTTATAAATTTACGTGTGTGAAAATTTTTTCAGCTTACCAGTTGTAACAAAACATACATTATTATAAATCACACTAATAAATCTCTTGCCGTACCGAAGCGCCCGGGTTCGAATCTCGAAGAACGGATGGATGTTTGTAAATGTTTAGTGTCTGTGCGGCATGGGGGGTGTTAAAATATACGGCGAGTCAGAAGTTCTCTCGTTCTCTTGAGAGGTTGGTGATAGGGAAAGAGAGGTGGGGGAGGTGCTCGGACCCGTCCCTCCCCGGGCAGCTCTCCTCCAAAATTGGGGGCGGAAGTGAACAAAGTCACCTGTATGGTGTCCAAGGCTCTCGCCAATATTGCCTCCTTGCCAAGATGAATTTCGTGGGCTAGGTCTGATATCAAACAAGCGAGATTAGTCACAACAACAAACCTCTTAAGAATACCACTAAATGGTATTTAAGGGGGAAAAATCCACCACCGAATTACTCAATTTATTCATTAATCGACCCCTCAACGCAAGTGAAACATGATCTCAAAAACTGCAAATTTCGAAAATAAAGATTTTGGTCAATTTTTGTTATATAGTAGTCAAACATTCTGCGTTTTATTTTTTATAAAGAGTATAAAATTTTCTAAAATATAAACACAGAAACACGAACAACATATGGTGTTAAAATTATATTTCGTAATTCTTACAAAATTGATTCGTTTGAATTAAATAAAATTCCAAAACATGAATATTTACGTCATTTAATTTTTTTTTTCCTAATAGAAGCATATCTACAACAAACGAAAAAAAAAAAAAAAAAGGCTGAGTAAGGATTTTTTTGGGGGAACGGGGTTCATCATCAGTCCTATATATAAAACGAAAACCATCAAGTTAAATGAGGCCAGAACACGCCAATCATAGAATGGATATTTTCTTTGGCCTGGTTTTATTCGTCTCTTTATTGGGACCGCTCTATATCTTTCGAAGCTTCCTAAAAGTTAATGCGCTTTCTAGGGAACACAAAAACACTCCCTTTTCAGCCACAAAAATACGCAACCTAGTTCCTAAATTAATGCAAGAAAACTATTTATAATTAACTCCAATGACTGAAAAGTTCATTTTAAAATCTAGAAATGTGCATTTCGTGCATTCTCAGAAAATAAATATTAACTGATAATACATATTTATTATTTATACGAGACCAAATAATTTAAAATTAAGCAAAGAAAAAAAAAAAAAAATAGCGATTTTATTTCGGCGTTAGTTTAGAATAAATCTCCATTCATTTTGAAGGACAACAGATACAGTGCTTTTTTTCTTTAGAAGCAAAAAAAAGGGGGGGTGAGAGCAAAAAAAAAAAAAAAATGCTTCTGATGAAGAAGGACTTCTAGCTGAGTGCCCTAGAAATCAGTAGTGTTGCTTATTCAAAATCTATGCCAAAATACAATTGCTTTTTAGCCTAATCTTAAATTTTACAGTGGTGCGCTTCCTATTTCATTCCTCTTCAGAATAGTTTGTCAAGCATGCATAACCAAAACTGTTTACATACGGAGAAAAAACTCATTAATATTAAAATTAAAGCACAATTTGCTCTTTGCTATTGGTTTTAAAGAAAAACTTAACATTTCGCGTAGATCGACGTCAGTTTCATTCGGAATGCATTAGTTTTCTACAAAACAAACACAAAGCGTCGAATTTTACCTGATTCTAAACACCAGATCACTTACAAATAAAATTTGACAAAACCAAATCAAAAATGTGTCATTCCCCACAGCGCTTCAAATTACTGCTGGATTAGTCCAATAACTAATAAAAAATTCGAACTGTATAATAACTCGATTTAAAGTTATAAGACACACAATTTTCGAAGAAAATATTTTTTTCTACAAATTTATAAAGCATTTAAAAAATGGAAAGAGTGAAAAAAAAGAAATTTATAAAATATATGTAGTTACACACTGACCAAGAAAAAAAAAAAAAGGTATTACAAAAAAAAATTCGCTCACCACAGTGAGAGCTGTAGTAAGAATCGTCGCCCAGTGCGTTCTTTACGCTAATTCCATACACGAAATTTACTCGTGCAGTCTCTCAAACATCTGAAGAATTTTTACTACCAAAATAAAGCTTATGTTTCGCCTCGAAGCGCACATCTGTTTCTACGTGCATTTTTAAGAACAATGAATCTTGCAAATTCATGAGTGCATATCTTCCGTTTCGAGGCCAATTAGCAAACTTTTGCGTTTAATTTTTCTTTGCGGACAGCGAATTGCAGCTGTTACAGACAAGAGTTCTTCGTTTAACAACTAGCACTCATAAGCCAGATGGAAGACAGTCTCTTATCGCTGAGCGCACACATAGACAAATCCTCGTTCGATTTCTCTACTGCGTCCGTATACTGGCAGCGCCATCTTTTGACTGATATTGTTAACTTTTATTAATTTTGCGAAACGGAAATAAACAAGAGGAAGCGTACGGATGCAATTAGAACATGTATGGCGGTGCTTCAAAGCGGGAACAGGCACTTAAAGGCAAGATCGATTTTTGTTCCAGTGACTGAATTATTTGTACTGGCGGTGCAATAAATTCAGACTGCATTATAAAAAGAAACCTGCATAATAAGTAAATAGGACAGTAAACATTTTCGTTTAGAAGCGCACTTGATTTATCAGAATATTTTATTTGTACGTCGCTCAAAGTGAGAACATGGCCGATGTAGAATGCAGCTGCAGTTAGGTAGGGGAATTAAAACATAAATGAAACATTAAAAATTCATAAATAAGTTATATAAAACATACTAAATTAAGGGATATATTTCGAATATTACTGAATAAATACGCTTCAGTTCCTATATCCAAGGGGTGGCTAAATTTCTTGACGATAGGTGCCGCACGGTAGATTTCATGAAAGTTCAAGAGCCGGAGCTGAATTTTCTATGATACACGAATCGATATTTACACAGTTTCAAATATGAGACATGGTTTGAATAAAAACTTTCGAAGTAAATTCATGAGAATTTCACACATTTCATATATTTAACATGGTTATATATAAATATAAATAAATAAATATTATATCTCTGGATCTCTTTTAAGTGTTTGGAGCTGTAAAAGACCCAGTGACTTTACAGTCTCGTTTTAAATTTCGAATAGCTCATTCAAAAAATAGTTTAAATATATACAGATAGATATAAATATAAAAAATATATATATAAATAGGCTAAAAATTAGAATAAAAATTTTTTTAACCCGTCCTGCGCTATAGCTGTAGGATTGAAGAAGAATAAACTTAAAAGCATCTAAATTAATTAGTAAACTGGAATAAAAACAAGGCAATTCCTCTATAATATAATAATTGCAACTGTGTATAAGAGGTTTATCTTAATATCAAAATTAATCCAAATAAAGAGAGAATTCTTAGTTGAACAACATCGAAATATAAAAATGCGAAAGGGAAAATATACAAAATCCTACAAATAAAACTTAATCTCCCTTTATTGAAACACTATTTCAGAACTCAAGAGAGGAAAATGAATTAAAGCTGCATAAAAGTCGATTATTATGTTTCGTTCTCTTGGTCCATTTGAGATCAAAAGCCGTAAAAAGATCTCATCAAATTTTTATTAAAGACTTTAAAAATCATATAAAACCGAAAACTCGAATCTCAAATGTACCAGAATGTTCCCTATACATTTTCGAAACACTTGTAAAAAAAAAAAAAAAAAAAAAAAAAAAAAAGAATAAAACATTACATAGTGCCAAAATAACAATTAAAAAGCGATAGAACTTTACATTAGGTACATTGAAATAATAATAAAAAAAATGGTCTAAAACCAACATATGCTATTCCGAAATTCAAAATCAAGTATAAATAAAGAGCAAAACTAATAATCATTTAAATAAACTAAAAAATTGGAAGATCCCGGATTAGGCTAAACTAAACTTTTAATATCAAGAAAACGAAAACGCTACTTAGAGATTTCTATACATGAAAAGGTTAAATCTGAGCTTTAAACAGCTAAAAACTCAAAACCTATTTGAAACAAAAATTGAAAAACGCAAACTTGCTGAAATCATCTTTAGAATTCAGTTAGATCACGTCCTCCTATACGTGATCTAACTGAATTCTTAAGATATGTGTGTGATCACGGCAAAGCCTCGAGGGCTACCTGCCTAAGGGAAGAGATGTCTTCGTTGAGGACTTCCTAAGGGAAACTGGCTCGTATACACGTTATACATGGGGTAAACCACGAAAACTCCCATGCAGATAGCCCGTTCGCGGGATTCGAACCTCGGACCGAACTACCAGTTTTCAGCAACTTTACCGCTCGGCCGCTGGTGGCCGAATTCTAAAGATGACCAAACGGTGTTCTTGCTAAAGAAAGTAGAATTCAAACTGCTCTGTAGAATTTTGAAGTTCTCGGAAAAAGTATGCGACAAGATTCAAACTGTCCAATAGCAGAACAAAGTATTTTAACATGTGTTCAAAACCTTGTTATATTTTATGTGTGGGGATGTCAATGGTCGGATGTAGTCTGCAAAATCATTACCGACGAGGAGGGGGAGGGTGATCGTCAACTCAAAATGGCGGCGAAAAAAACTTCTAAAAGAAGTTGCTCTCTGTAAAATTTTAAAGCGCGAAAACAGTTTCGGAAAAGAAAAAAGGTATATGTTATAAAAGATAAACGTCTTCACGTAATCGGGGTACAGTACGCCTTAGAAACTAGAATCCCCATTTTTTTAGTAACAGCCAGATTTGATAGTTATTACATTTACAAAATAGTAGAAAGATAGTATAGAAATAGTAAAAATAATTAAAAGGGAAAAATACAAGATTTTTGTACAAATTTGCATTAAATTTCTTATCGTAGTCATCTAACTTTTACCTCCAATTAAGGTTAAAGTAATAATTATCATATCACTTTAGGTGAAAAATTTAAAAAAAAGTAGTTAATACCAGCTTTCTTTAAAGATATGGAAATTTTGAATCCAGTTGTTTTATTTTCTAAGAGAATATTGACTAATTTTGTGATTTCTTCTTGTAAGTATTCGACTTTATTGCAAATATTTTTTATTCTAATTAGATGAGTATTACTTTTTTGGAAATATTGGAGTGCCAATGGATGAGTTTATAGTAGGGAAATTAAAATCTCTTGTTTTGTCGTAGATTTTAATATGTTTAAAATTGATAATTTGCAAATCTAGGTAATTAATATATCCTTGTTGAAAGTTAGTTTTATTTAGTTTCAAACAAAAAGGATAAATGCGATCGTATTCTATTTGATTGTAGTTGTTGAATGTAATAATATCATCCATGTATCCGGAAATGTTAGAGTAATATGAAAGTTGTACTCGAGATAACTGCTGTTGGAAATGAAATTCTTTGGTAAAAAAGTATAAATTACAGATCGCTGAACACGAGCAAGTCTTTATCGGGATACTGTTGATTTGCTTAAAAAAGACATTATTAAATGCTATGTAGTTATTAAATAGAATATGTTTTAAATACAGTTGCCACTCTTCTTTGTAAATAACAGCAGTAACTTGTGAAAATAGATCTGGTAGAGTAATAAGGCTGTCAAAGACTTCTTGTAAAGGGCTTTTTTAAGCATTTTCGTGAAACGGTAGCCTATTTCTTTCATGTAATTTCTAGTCCCGTTAACTATAACTGCATTCTACAGCATATTTTCCGAGACGATTAGAAAACGGGTTATGGAGACTTCGGTCATAGGCGGCTGTGGTCCTAGCTCTGTTCTTAATGCCTTGCCTTTTTGATCAGTAATGAAGGAGGCGCAGCACTTGCAGTGCATCACACAGAACACCAGTGTATGTGTGTATGTTCCAACTCGCTCAACAAAGCTTATATTTACAAATTAGTACAGGCTATTAGGAATAGTGGACCGTGGCGATTTAAGATAATTAATGACAAATAAGGAACAAATATCGAAAAATTAGTGTCATTACGCCAAGCTCAACTTTCATACTAATAATAGTATATTACTTTTTTATTAATATATGCTTGTTAATGAAATTTTGAGAAATACACAGTTATGCTAATATCTGTTAATACAGTAATTTTTAAAACTATCCTTGTTTTTCGATATACTTGTAATATCTACTTGTTTAGTGTTAGGTGTGACAGCTGAAGCACGTGCAAGAACCAGACAGGAGAAGGGTTATAAGAACCTTTTACTAAAACTCTTTAGAATACACAATGCGTTGACTTGACGCTAACAAACTACGCCTCACTCGGGCGGTAACTCAACGAATAAGAACTAAACTAAAATTTCAAATATACTAACAAACAGTAGAATTATTCCCCAGGGCGCAGATAAACCTATTACCTAAAACCGCGTCGAAGTCTAGTGGCAGCAAAGTAATAGCTGTTAAGTCACTTTAATCAGCAACAAATGCAGAACCAGAAGCTCACGCTACAAAGGTACAGCGCTTGCCCACACTCTGTAACTTTCCCTTCTAGAACTCAGGTTTAACAATTTAAACCTTTCATCCTCAAGGTAAAATTTGCATTTCTTCACTCGCGCTACCAAATTTAAATATTCTGGCATTGACAGTTAGGGGAATGAAGGATAATAGGAAAGAAAGTAAAAACAATCTTAACTGGTTATTCAAGATATATATTAATCCCTACATACTATACTTCACCTAAAAAGGGCGCCATCGAATCACTCTTTGAAAAAGCGATCTATAACCCCCCCCCCAAAATGGAAAACTATGAGTTACATTATTGATTTTAAAAACGGAAGCCGGTGCGCCTATTTGTTTTATAAAGGGAGGGCGGTAAAGTATTTTTTCCTATAAAAAGAGGCGAAAGGCCACAGAAGGTTGGGAATCTATGATCAACAGCTATATTGAGAGTCACAGATTTTGTATTTTTAACGTCTTCATGGAAATTGATAACTTTATGGTACCTTTAATGACTTAGTGTATTTGTAACATATATCAAAGCTTTCAACTTAAATATAAATAAAGAGAGACTCTAACGCCCAAAAGAAAGTTTCGAGAGGCGTTTGAACTTCGCGGGGTCACTATTTCAAAAGAATTTTAGATTGATTCTATGAAGTCGCTTTATGCATAATTCACGATACTCAGTTATTTTTCTAAATTGCCTTTTACTTCATATTGTAATTTTTATACATTTTATCAGGGTCAATGTTCCTTTTAACCTTCTTCGGGAACATGCAAGGACCTGACTCGGAACAGAGAGCTTACTAAAGCTATGTTCAAAACTGTGGGAAATAAACAGGATACACAAGAAGGGTATACAAAACCCTTTATTTTTCTCTATTTACA